CATTTAAGATTACATAATCTAAAGAAAGGAAATTTGAAAATTCAAAAATTTTATTTTTGAAAGTTTATAAGGAATTAAAAGAAAAATTAAAAAAATTTTATTTGAAATTTTATGAAAATAAGTTTTTAAAATTTTGTAAAAAATTTTTGTCTAACTATTTTAAAGATAGAAATTTTCATTCAATTAAAAATCGAAATTTTTCCAAATTATATTTATATTTCATAATATTTACTAACTTCACATCAATTTTTTATATTTGTATTATCAAAACCATCAACAAGATCTTATTTTATTAAAACAAATATATTGAATATTCACAAATACACAAAACTCGAGCAGCAGACCAGTCTGAACTATTGTTAACTTGTATCGTTATTTAACGGATTACACAGGCATAAAGATTTCCGGGCATAAAAAATGAGGAAGCGAGGCGACCAAAAGTGGCGACGAGGCGAATCGTACGCTGATACGCACCTGTCTTATACGAGCCAATCACAACGCTCTAACGAAGGAACAAGCTCTTTTTGCTTCCAGAATTTTTTTCTCTCTCACTCTCCTTACTGATCAGACTCTCCGTTCTCTTCCTCGCTTTTCGTCCATTCTTTTCAATCGTGCCGCCATCAAATTACCAGTGAGTTCGCACGAAATTCGCAAGAATCGAACGGACTTGGTAATTGCACGCCTTCTAATTAGCAGAGATAAGTCTTTTGCTCTGGTTTTTTTATTTGTATGTTACATTTATTTTGTTTAAGCATAAATACTCGATGCATTCGTGGAAATCTGTGTTTGAAAATCTTTTTCTCAAAGAAAGAACGAGTATCTTCTTAAACCATTATCATCCACTGACTAGAAAATGGCTGATTGTAATGGAACCGTTTATGCATTGAATATGATCCTGCGAAAATAAACGATGCATTTAATAAGTATGTTGAACATACAAATTCGTTTCTTTTGGAGAATTCTGTGTTTTGGATGAAATTATAAAAGTTGGATTTTCGAGGTATGTTGTGATTTTTAGTTGATTGTAACCAAGATCTCTTAAATCACAAATAATAGGTTTTTGTCTTCTTTCGAATAATAGGTATATTATTAAACAAAGGTATATTTCAAAGAAAAAATATTGGAAATGGTTACTGAAATAGTTTTCATAATTATTAATCAGTATTATATTATATAATAACTTGATATATTTTATATTGTATATTTTATTAGTTTTTTAAATATTAATTTATTTGATTTTTTAAATTATAAATAATTATTACTATTTGAAAAGATTTTAGATTTATGTTTGTAGAATAAATAGAATTTATTTTAATTTAATTACTTATGCAAGAATATTTACCTTATGCAAATTTAAAGATCATTTTTATTTTAAAAAAGAAATTCTTTGATCTTTTTATAATTAGAACAATGTAGCAGATGTGTTGTATACAATACATTACCAACAATATTGACAGATCAAACTGTTTAATTTATTTGGCTCATTATTAATCATTAATTATACAATGTTTTTTTCACATTTTCTACAATGTATCAACAGCAGTCAGTTCTAAGAAATAATCGAAATTATATCATTTTCTACAATGTGTAACTTATTATTAAAATATAGTGATATGGTAATTTCAAAGAGGAAAATTACGTCAAAACAGATGATGATATTCAATTGTTAACATATGTATAATCTTTGTTATTTGTATTTCTATTATGTGAATCTTTGAACAATAACATATATAAGATATAGGAGAGTAATGTAATTGTAAAATAATGTTGTATGTATATTTTTACATATACAATTTTAATTGATAATATTAAAAATTATAATAATTTTGATTGATTATAGATAAATTAAAAATATAGACAAGACTAAATTAAATTAAGAATAATACTTAATAATTTTATTTTAAACTTTTATATTTTTATATAATAATAAATTTTATATAAATTTATATAATAATAGGATAAGTTTAATAAAAAATATTATGTAGAAATTAATTTTCCTCAATAATTTTTTCCATACAAATTATTTATTATTGATCTCTGATTAAAACAATTTTTTTTCAGAATTAAAAACGGGAAATTGATCAATCGAGTCGAATCAATTTCATGAATAACGCGTGAACATGAGCACATAGGATAGCTAAAATTTTACGATGCCAATTATGAGGTTAAAAGAGGTTTAAGCGGCTATAAATCGATCGATAATTGAAATGAGCAGTTTTTTTCATCAAAAAACTGATATGGATCACAGATTGTCTTTAACCATCTACAAGATAAAATTTTTACAAGACGAAATTGACAAATAAATTAATGTGTAAACAATTATGATTGTTATATGTATTTTGAAATATATTCACAGATAATTTTTTGATGTATAATATTGTGATATATCAGATAAGTTAGATTAAGTATAAAGTAAATGTTACAAAATGACGACATTTCTTAACCAATTATTTTTTCTCAGTTTTAATAAATTCAATAGATTTATTATAGACTCATTCAATCAGATTTATCGTAAAAATTAGCTAAATTTGTGAAAATATAAATAAATTATAGTAATCAAAATTCAATTTTTTAACAATTAAAACAATTAAAATTCAACTGTAACAATAGAACACTTACAACAATAAACACTATATAATCTATTTTAATCTTTGGTATCGACTATAATAGTGTTACCAACCTAATGCGAATGTAATTAATACACACAAGTCTCTGGTAATTCAATCGACAAGGTTGCTGCATCTGTATTTTCTATGGCTGCAAAGTGCACTGCGCAAATGCGCCTACGCTCGTATGCGCGTGCGCTCAAGCGGGAATCGGCATGTGTGGCATCAGTGGTGCGCAAGCGTGCAACCGGACACCACGAACAGAGGCCGGCACGCGCCGAAAGCCACCTCGTCGGTTTTCTCGGATGGTTACCCGACAATTTGCCGCTTCGATACTCTTACTACAGGGAAAGGTGATTCGACAATGTTCGTCGAGTGTAACCACGCGTGTCCTGTCCGTGTTAAATCATGGAAATTCAATGGTTTTCTGCCACGATGCTTTGTCATATTGATTCATGAAGATTATTTTTGAAATTGTAAAGAGATTATAATGCGATTTAATAGAGATACATTTTAAAGCAAATATATTTTGAGATTTCGATATTATACAGGTATTTGTTTCGTTATATTAATATTTATTTTAATATTATTATTATTATATAATCATTATATAGTAAATTTTTTTTTTTAGTATATTTATTGCAATGACGTTATACGATGGAGAAGAAAAATAAAAAAAAGATAAAAAGGTAATTTTTATTAATAAAATTAGTTAAAAGCCATGCTGAAACATAAAAATACATAATGAATAATGAGTACATAGGTTAGAAAATATAATAATGTAGGTAAAGATAGTTAAAATAAATATTTACGAATATTGTATTTTTTGTACAATATAGTATATTAGACAATAGTCTCTGAAAGAATAAAAATTTTAAATGTATGGTTATTTTAGTTAAAATAAATTAATAGTATATAAAAATTTATATCTATCTTAATTAAATATCATAAAATGTTAATAATCAATTCAATCAACAGAATTAGTCAAATCATTTCGAAAGTCTCAATTTTTTGATACTATTTTGAATCATTTCTATGTTTTACACTTTCGGATGAAAAAGAAGAGCCGCAAATCAGTTGCGGTTGTGATAAATTTCGAGCAGGTGAAATACAAGTGACTAAAAGCTTTCGCACGATACGGAACAAGTGAAACAGAGAGAAACAGAGTAGAGAGATGAAAGATAAGGAACGAAAGATAGAGGGTTAAAAACGGCATGTGAAAAAACGGAATGCGATTCGATGATTAAAAATCGATAATGATAATTCTTTGCTCTTGTTTATTGCAAATAAAATAATTTATAAAACGAACAGTGCGTGCTACAATCATACTAATAATTTGTCACGATATAATTTCTCTGAATCGTTTGTCTTTTCGCACGTGCAGCTGGAAACCAGGATTACGATAATTAACGCATCTACTTCTTATTTTCATCACTTGATACAACGGTTAATTATGTAAATGAACTTATTATGAATTCACCAAAAGACCACCATGTTCTTCGTGTTTTATGTGATAATGAATAATCAAAATTTTATGTGATGTGCAAATGATTTCACATGCCTTTTCGCAATAAGTGAGGTTATGTTGAATTTTCGTCAATTTCACAATATGAAAAGTTTCTAAAGAATATTTTTATGGAAATGAAAAAATATCAATTGAATATGAATAATTGTAGATAATTGAAAAATATCAAAAAATAAGAAATGTATATTTAATCAAATATTTAAAAATATATTTTAAATAATTGTTTTCTTATTATATAATTTATATATTATTTATATATTATATTGAAAATTCTATTAAGTTCATTTTAAATATTGTTAGAAATAAACCATAGCAATCTATGATAAATATTATTAAATACTTATATATCTATACTATACATTTTATTTATGTATTATTATACGCTTTTTTCACTAGAAAAAATCACATAATTGAAACTAATCATATTTATTATTTTATTAAAATATAAAAATAATTAAATATGATATAATTTTTATTAAAACACAAATATAAAAAAATTATTAATTAAAATTAATTATTTAAATATAACATTTTGCAAAAAATTGTATATTATAATTTATATTAAATGACTAAATTTTACAGTCCAATCAACATTATAATCATTACACTCATAAAAATTCGTAAAAAAATATACAATTAAATTAAATTTCGTGCAAAGAAGTCTAAAAAAGTTTCAATGATAAATAACTTATAATACTCTTCGTATATAGTTATTATTATTCAAACTATTAATAATAATTTTATGCATATTTTATAAAAATATCGCTTCTATTAATATTTAGCTCAATTTCACGCTGAACTCTCTGCTATTAAATTAAACATCGTTTCATATTTATAATTATCATTTCATTGGTACTTAATGATCTTGCAGATATCTGATATTACTTTAAAGAAACAGTTCACGATTCACACTTTCACCATGAAGCTAAACGAAATCGAAGAATCGAGTGAGTATTCATTGTAATCATGTATTGTTATCTCATTAAAATTGTCACGTAAATCGTTCGATCGAGTTAATTGCCTTTAAATTTATCGTTCGAATAAATACAATTTATCGATTTTAATTGGGGGAAGAGAATCAAGAATAATAAAATAATAAAATAAATAACTTTTTCTTCTTGACCAAAATGATTTCTTTTTCACTTTCCTATTTCTTAAAATATTTAAATGAATTGAAATCTTATGAATTTTTCGCATATTAAATTTCTAGTTAAATTTTTGTTAAATAATAAATAGATAAAATTCAAGAGCAGAATTCATTTTGAACGATAATTAGGTAATTACCACGAGGACATGTGTATACAAAGAAAAAAATTTTTTTTCAAGTTGTTTAATATAATGCAATTAAAGATTTTTATATCAGTAGTTTGATTTTTATGATCAGATTTTGAGAAACTGTCGATTAATTAAAGACGATTTATGAGCGAAAAAATGATTCCGTTATAAAAAGTACTTGAAATGTAGAATAAGGAAGAAGTCTGATGAGTGGAGAGTGTTTATGATGTTGGCGTAATATTTTCGACTTCATTATATAATTATTCTTTTAAACTTTCATCATATGTTTATTCACGCTTTAAAATTAAAATATTGTATTTATTTGATTAAAATATGTCTTTATTTATTTAAAGAAGAAGTTTAAAGTAGTGATTTTTAAAATAGTAAAAAATTTAAATAATAAAATATTCAAATAATAGTTATTTGAAGATATAGAAGTTTATGGAAGTTTTACTATATAAGAATATAATAATTATTATTATAAGGAGACGTATCTTGTCGAATTTAATAACTTTGAAATAAATATTGTAAATAATTTCAAAAAATAAATACTGAACATGATATATTTATTCAATTCGTTCAAAAAGAATCAAACGTAAGAAACTGTGGTCATAAACGGCCTCAGGGATATTGCATGACAATTAATCGAATGAGGTAGCAGCTGCTTCGTTATGGCTGATTTTCGTAATTACGATTCGTTTTCCTCTTTAGTTATTTCGTGCAAAGAATAAAAAAAAAACAATCAGCAAGAATTGTTTAATCATCGCGAATTTCTTTAACTCATCTCCTGAGCCGCTATATTACGCACTAACTTAATTTGTTACGAACCAATCAGTCACAGCAACAATTAGTTCGTTAAGAGTTTTCACAAGACTGATTCTTCTTGTTTGCTCTAATTAATATATCAACGATCTTTCTGCAATTGATTTTGACTTCTTTCGAGAAAATATATTCCATTCTGTTCGACTTTTACCTTATTACTTGAGCCCTACCAGATATCGGTTTCCTTTTAAGTCTATCTTTTTGTTTGTCAGTTTGGGAGAAATTGAATTTTTTCTTCTTTTCATTAGTTAACTTTATTACATTCACTATAAAGATTCTTATTGTTATGGATTAATCTTTATTGGATTTTTGAGAAATGTTACATTCTATAATTTTATTTTTAATTATATAGAATCTTTAAATCGAGATTTATAATTATAATTTACAGTACCAGAATTTTTATTTTTCATTCTATGTTATATATTAAAAAATAAGAAACAATTTTTGTACAAAATCTGATAATTATTTATAAATTTTTCCAACATCTTGGAAATATTTTAATATTGCCTTTGATTAATTTGGTAATTAAAAATAGATTTGGTAAATTTTTAAATCTTTATAAGTAACAGATATTATTAAAAGTATTTATCTAGTAAGAAGTTTATGTGAAAGCATAAGAATTTTTTTATTTTTCTATTTTTATAATTCTTATTAGTTGTACAATTTTTCTTTTGAAATTATTACTCTCTTTTCCTTTTATATTGTAGTTTCTGAAAAATAGTTTCTCATATCTATTTTAATTTTAATTTTAGCTCGTATATTTGAATATTTCTTTCAAAATCTCTATCCTACCGTAAAAAAGGATCTCAATAAATTTGATAAGATAATAACATGCTATTATATAATAGCGTGATATAGTCCATAAATATTTTTATAAACCATATTGCCATATCATAAAACTATAATTAAACTTTCTTTCTCTTTTTACGGATAAAAACGATTGCATCTGGAAAAAAAAAAAATATAAATATGGACAGACATAACTGTTCATTATGTCCAGTAGACAGAAACGTTTCTGTTTCTTTGAAACACGCATGACAGATGTTTCGTTTCGAAGTGACAAAGGATTTACCGATTAAGTTCTTCTATCTTTCCACTAAAAATTAATACCAGAATTCAAATCGGATTATATTCTTCTAAAATTTACGCACGAGAAACGCTAAACCGGATGTTAACCGACCAGTTCTTAATTATAATGTCAGAGTTGTATTTGCATTGCATTATATTTTCTAATTTTCTACTTCGAACGATAGTTCAAAGCTTGTGTAAGCTTCATTCAACAAAGATAAAAAAAAGAATATTATTTCTTTCTTTTTAATCTTCTCTAATTCCAAGGCTTGAATTCATTTTATCCGTTTGGAATTTTTTTAATGTTTCAGCTTTTGAATAATTTTGAAAAAAAAATCAATATTACTTACTAATTTTTATATTTTATTAATTTAGTTGTTGAAACGTTTTCTTGCAACAAAGATTGAAATTTAAACAAAATGAAGAAATATAAAAATTCTACATTGAGGCTTCAAAAAATATCTAATATTTATATCTGTTTTTATTCGAATTATTTTTATAAAAAAAAAACAATTATATTTTCTTAAAATTAACTTAAATTAAATTAACTTAAGAAATTAATTAAATTATTACAACTTTCCTGATTTGCAATATCCTCGAATGATCCGCACTTGCTATCACTTTCGTGTGTATTTACGTAGGTGTAGTCACTCACACAGATAAAATGAAATACAATGAAATTGGAAGAAGAATTATAATACAGTGTACTTTCGACAATACGAGGGCAGCTGCTGTTTCGGTAGCAATTCTCACAATGGCATCGCGCGAATAATTCTTACGGTAATTACGACCGTTCCTCTTTTTCTCCCGTCATCCCCCTTTCAAGTCGCATTGTCTTCTGGTCTTCCATCTGGTTCCGCCCGTGAATCCTTCTTCTTCGCTGCTTTCTCACGAAAAGCGGAATTCTCAATTGTTTCTCAACTGTTTTCGTGATAAATTCGTGGAAAAAAGTTTGAATATTAATAAATTTAAATCCAAAATATTATCGCTATAAAAATTATAAATTAGTTATTTATTGATTAAAAATCTTTGTTATTTATAGAATTAATCTGATTTTTTTTTTAAAAAAAATGACTCATCTCTCTTACCCCTATATACATATTAAAGATGTTGATACTTTCATTAAAAAATTTAACCTCATATTATCTATAATAATCTAATGAAAGAAAGAAATAGAGAAGAAAAATAAAAAAGGGAATAGATAAATGACACGAAATGCACGGGGGATGAAGGACTCGAGAAATGGAGGCTTGTCAGTCTGGTTCCAGGTTCATGATTGGCATTTGTTAGAGAGTGAAAATCAGCCGGGAGCGGCGGGTCCTCTTCGCTGTGGGTGGAAAGGAATCGAATGCGGTGATTACTGGGTTAATTTCCTCCATTATCCACGAGTGACCCACATCTTCGGGCCTTCCGCTTTCGGAGATGTTGAACGTAGCGATGGCTACGAGATCGCGTGAGTTCGAAAAAAATATTTAATATTTATTTTACAAATTTTAATTTTAACGTGATAGAAATTACGTTATCAATTATACATTATTGATAAATATTTCATGATTATTTGTAACTTTGATAAAAAAATTAGTATTCTTATTAGTTCTATTGTATTGGAAGCTTTAGAAATAAATACTGATAAAAAAAAAAGAGAGAATGAAAATAGTTTCGAGTAAATATAGCTCCACAATCTGTTTCTTTCAAAATATTTAATATTTGTCCTTTGTGATATAGTAAGAATTCTTATAGGATACTTATTCAATTATAAAATGATATTTATTAAGATAAAAGTCTTAAAAATTAAAATCCATCTATAATCATCAGTTCCATATTAATAAGATCAATCATTAATTACAAATTACGTTTGTAATTTGCAATCAGAAGATTACATTAATTTTTATTAAAATTAATGATAACATTAATATCCTTTATTTTTGTTGCGTGACTTTTAATCTTGCTCTCGAAGAGAAATTATAAAAGTGAATTATTATCCCTTAATATGTTATTATCCCACAACGTATCATTGTCACTCGATTAAACATTTTGTATGATAGATGTATATTTTGTATAATAGTATTAAAATTATATTAATTTTTTTATTCGAAATAAAAAAAAAATCTAAATTCAAAATATATTTTACTTCTAGATATATTCGTATTTTGAGTAATTGACAATTTAAAGTTTAAAGTATTGAAAATTTTGAACAGGGAAAATCAAATCAATGCTATGGTATCAAAATTTAAAATGAAAATTATATTTTAATCAATATGTTGAAAGTTATTGTTGGAAATTAATTCTTATTTGTTAGTTCTATTCACTTGTAAATTAAGTTAAGAAAAATCAGTTTAAATAACACAGAATCTCAAAAATATTTTATCACCTTTCAATTATTTCATCGCACGAATTATTATTTTATTTTACGTCAAAATTTTAATTAATAATACAAAAGTGTACGATCTTTTAATCTCATCTCTCTTTTCAATATCTCAGTTTTCGCAATTTTTTAAAAAAAAATTGGAAAACAAGATACAAAGTAAGAGAAAGTAGAATAAAATAAAAATAAAAGAAAAAATAATGAACATGTTCAATGATTGTCAGTGGCGGAACAAGCCCCCAAAAAGAATGTCCGTAGGTGTATTTTACGATACACTTTGAATCGCGTTCCAGTTGCAATTTCGAGAGTTGCCATTCGCGTGGCTGATTGCCGATCGATGATTGCCATTCACGTGACGAGGATGATTTTCGAACAGGACTTTAAAAAAAAAAACACTCGAGAAATTATCCGTGAAATTTTTCTGGTTCGTGGTAATCAAGTACAGTTACGGAAGCGAACACCGCGGAATCTTTCACGATTTTTATTTATAACGAAAACGCTTTAAATAACATAAAGTCTTATCAAAATTTTCATAAGACAAATCTTTTTAATGATTGTTATTAACGGTGACGATTATTTTCGAAAAGAGAAAAATTACATTAACGGTACATGGTTTTAAGCTTGATTTAATCTTATCCCCCTTTTTCGAAAGATCTGGATAAAGATGTGGATGAAACTTTCACTATCATGGATGATTTATTGACGAAAGTTAATTGAATATTTCATTCATTTTTCATTCACGACAATTTCATATTAGATATATTTTCTTTATTATATCTTTAACAATTATACCTAATGATTTAATAATATAATAGTAGATTTTTTTTCTTATAAAACATCTCTCTTCAAGTGCCAGAAATCGTCATCGAAATAAATCATGATTTTTTTTTGATAGCAGTTGCTATATTTTTTATAGGGAATAAAGTATGAATAAAGTAGATATTTAAGTGGTGATCCATTGGAATTTATATTTACAAGCAATTTTTTAATTTTGCATTAAATGAAGTAGGACGATTCTATTTCCATCTTCTTTTATTTATCACAAATTAAATTGCTTATAATATAAAAAATAAATTTCAATAGACATTTTTACACACGAATTCTCTGAAATCATTCATCATGAATTTTCCATCCACTTTGTCCAAATACATATTAATTAATAATATTATTCTATTCATTTTATATTTAATAAAAAATAAAAATATGTATATATTTTCGGATTAGTTTATCTTATCACTATTAATTATTACAGTCTCATAAATTGAAAGAGAATATATTGTAATTAAGAAAAAATAAGAAATACGAAAAGCTACATAGAAGATGATAAAGAGAACGATAGTGGGATGAAAACAATCAGAAAGAAGGCGCGTTAACTAAATGATAACTAACCCGCCACGTACGTTCCGTGGTAATTTTTTCTGCGTTATTTCGTGGAGCAAAAAACTGGCTAAGTACACAAGGCCTGTGGCTTGTATCGTGAAAAAAATATAACTAGCTGACCGCATAATATCCAAGAAAAATATATTTGCATCTGACGATAACAAGTGTAGGACGAGCTGGGTCTGATTACAGAGCAGCGGGCCTATTACCATGCCAAAAACGATTCCCGTAACGGCTACCTGGAGGAGATTTTAAAAATTACCCCACGAAATTTCACCCGCTCTTATTACGAGGAAAACATTCATATTGTATCATATTGTAAATCGGATCGATCACGATTTTGGCAATTTCCGATCGAAGAAATAAAAATAATGAACATTTTATCTTTTCAATTATACATTCGTTGAGAATCTACCATACTATATTTCTTTAAATTTTAAACACTATTCTATTCCTAAAATTTTAATCGATTAATAACTTTTCAGTGAATTAACAATTTTCATTTTTTGATGAATTAATAACTAAAATTTTCGATGTTGTTCGATTTTATTAAATTTCTGGTGATAAAATTCTAAATTTGGAATATAAATTGATAACAAATATGTCAAAGAATAATGATTTAATTAAATTTGAAAATCTTTCGAGAGGAAGATTACAAAATTTTAATGTTATACTGATATAAGTAAAAGATATCGAAATCTCGAAAATCTCTTATATATTTGACTTTCTATACAAAGTATAAATATATAAAATTGTTTATGCATTTAAAATTAATTCATTTAATACGTAATATAAAAAAAATTTTCTGCTCTGAACTATCAAAATATTTATTACTTATATTAATATTTATGGCGAAATAAAGAAAATTGTATACAATTCCCAATTTAAATTACTATATACACATTACATATATTTCATCTTAATATTTTTCTTTTATTTGTAAATATTTCCTTCCTATCGAGGTTAGAGATACTTCATGCGAAATTACATATTTGTGTTTTTTTATAATAATTTATAAAAATGTTGTGGATACGGTTCTTCTTTATATCAGTGTAATTAGGAGAAGGTTAATAAAGGCCATCTCTTGTTTCTCATAAAGAAAATTCAAGTTTTATTGCGGGCACTCGATTCTGTAAAAATATTTAATCGAGCAACGCTTTAGCAGCAACCATGTTTAAAGTAGTTCGTTCGTTAACTTAATTATCAACCAATCTCTCGTGGCTCTCAAATTTCTCGCTTAATTTCCTCTTTCATGTTCCTGCAACCTTTTCGAATATGTAGCATCAGTGACTTGACAATTTAAACGTTCTGCACCCATCAAACATTTTTGCACGATCAATCATCTTTTTTTCTTAATTTTCTTTTTTTTTTTTCGCGTTCATTTTTATATCAGACACGTGGGTCTTGACAAAAAAAAAAAAAAAAAGAAAAGAAAATTAAATGAAAATATTCACGAAATAAAATATTCTGCTAAATATATAATACGATATATGTTTATCATATTTATTTCGCACTTTTTAATAAATAAAAAATATTGCATATTTCAAAAAATTTTTTCTTGGCAATTACATACATCGCAAGAGATATGTTTTTTTTTTCACTATTCTCTCAAAAAATCAATTTTTCGCTAATTTAGATTACATTGAAACTAATTATTCGAGATTAATCGTCATTCTTATATTCACATCCTAAATTAAGAACTTCCCATTGAATATTATTTTTCCTATCTTCTATCCTCGCCATTTTAAAGTAATCTAATATCATCTTAATAATTTGTAATTGACAAGTATCTTAATGTTTCTTTTGTAATCACAAGCATAAAGACAATAGAGGAAAATAAATTATTAAACGATTTGGTCGTTACAATACGTAGAATTAAAGCAATTTCTTCAATTATATACTTTTATCTTCCTTCTTTCGATGAGTTATCGATTATCGATTCTTCATATTTATCAGCAAATGTTTATCGATGAGTTCGTCTCGAACTAATGTGCTCAAATTATTGATCTTGTACTTATCTGTAGGTCGTTACAGAGTAGAAAGGAGTAACCGATCCCGATTACGATTTCTCCTCTCAATGCCATGAAAAACGTCGACACTTTCACAAAGCGACGCGTGCAGCTGTTCCGAGGAGGAACTCCCCGTATCTGAAAATGGTGGATAAACGACGGAAGGGTGAAGCTGACTCTCCATGTCCACGTGCCGCCTTCTATTTCGTGAATTATCGGCGCAATTATCTGGAACAGTTTGCAATTACGAGAAATATACGACTGTTACAGGTAAATGTTTATTTTAGGTAAATTTTTGCCAAGTATATTTTCGAGATGATACAAAATTTAACAAGGATTGATGGGTTATTGCAATTTCTTTTTCTAATATTATAACACGAAATCCATTGAAACATAGAAAATCATATATATCATTATATTCATTTTGTTTAAAAGAAATTAAACAAATTCGATATAACAGTTTTATAAATAGATATAAAGATTTGAAGCTTCCTTTTTTTTTTTTCAATTTTATAATACTTAATACATACTTTTAAATCGTATTTCTGTGCCGATCAAAATACGTAATTTAAATTTATGATGTTGTTAAATATAAAATAATGAGCTGATATTACCATTTGATTTATGCCAATATTATTATCTGTACAAGAAAATGTATCGAATATTCCTTTTAAAACTTGTAAACTTGTTTCTTTCAATTTTTTAAAGATAGTATTTAATTTATTTGAATCGAATTGGTAGAATAAAATATTCTAGAAAATTTTTTATCGTAAAAGTTTTTCAAAATTTGCTACATCTTTCTGACAATTCAATTTCTGACAACCTTGTGCAACGATCTAGTAGAATACATCTCCGAATGATCCAACACTGTTCACCAAATCGCATATACCATTTAATCCGTGGGAATTCGATCGAAAATCCATTTTTGCGATTTCATGACGAGTTGGGATCCGATCGAAATCGGATTCGCGGATCATCGACCCAGTTATTTAACCGTGTTACCGCGTCCACTTGACTCGACTAACGTTTCTTCGTCTTTCGTTTCTGCTTATATCCAATTAACCATTAAACACTTCCCATTTTTCTTCTTTCGTTCCCTTTTAAGCCATAATTTTATCGCTTCGAAGCGATCAGCTTGAATTTCGATTTTATTTGCACTCTCAGATATTCATAAGCTCTTCTTCTTCTTTCTTTTTCTTTCATCGATTAATTGCGTTTCCCCGATATTCGGTATAATCATTGTTAATTGGATTGGGAAAGTTTTGAATCGTGGAAAAGTTTGTTTTATTTCTCTTCACAGAATTATTGATCACTTGGTTAATATTGAAGTATCCTCGAGCGAATTATTCGTAATTTGTGATTGAGAGGTGTAAAAAGAGATAGGTATTTTTAATCGGTCTTGAATTTTTAATGATTGCAACGATAATTTCGTGGCAAGAATGCGGTGAACGTGTCTTTGAATAATTTGAATAAGAGAGTTATGCTTGAATTACTTCCTTCCCTATATATCATATATACAGTGAAGAAAGTAGCATTAATTTTATACGGATAAAATGTTAATTTGCATTTCATCTTGATTTCATTTTCATTTTTATTCATTACATTTTTTTAATTTAAGAAACGTTTTATTTAATCATTATTTCGTGATACTATTAAATTTATAATTATAACTCGATTAAATGAAACTATATATTTATCATTATAGAAATTTTTATTGTAATTACAAATGTTTATAATATTGTTCTTACATTATTCTTGCTGCATAGAACAATATATGTAGTAGAACATGCATATTATTAGTACGCCCTAAAGCAACTCGAACTTACAAATAATTCGAATTTCATTCGAACACATTTATTAAATACAAAAACAGAACTATTTATAAATCTCGCAGAATATACACCGAATAAAATAAAGATAATTACCAAAAAATCTGACGTAAAGTTTAATAAACTAGATTACTGTAAGAGTATGTACAAGTGATAAAAGTACATAATTGACCTGACCATAATAAAAGTTTATGAAAGGATATGAATGGAACGAGAAGAAATGTCCTTAAATGACACAATTAAAATCCAAAAATGTCCTCGATCAATTGCAACTTTCTTGCAAGCATTTTTACGTCGTTTCAAGCCTTTTCACTGGCCGTTTTTTTACGCGTTAACAGAGATCGATCGATTGTGTCGTTACGCGAGGCAGGTTTCGTTCTCCACGATGCACGCGAGTTGGTCTCGCAACGTTTTCTCTTTGATCACGGTCGAGCCACGTTGTTTCAACAATTTTCAGGTATTATTCGCATAAATTGTCGGTTTAAAGTTTCGACGCCGCAATTGAAACGCAAAATGGCAGAGCTTCGGGCTCGGTTTCTCCTTTAATATGGCGCCGATCCGTGTGTTTATGATAAAAAGATCATACGAATATATACATTTCGCAATATTATTAATGAAGAGCAAACCGCAATGAAGTCGAAATGAAGTTGCAAGTTTCTTTACCAAATTGAAACGGAATATGAATATGTAATTTGTGAGAGAAAAAGTTGAAGATTTGATAATTATCGTGTTATAATTTTATTTAAAAGTTTCAAAATGAAAGTTGTTACGTAGAAATCGGTAAAATTTACCGATAAACTTTTTATTCTTTAATTAAGCACACTTCACTTTGTGACAATATTTTTGTGTCCTCGCACATTGCAATGTATATTATACAAAAATAAAAATTTCAATTCGTTTTATTAATATTTGATATCTCCGGAAACCTAAAGATCCCGAGGACTCTTCCTCTCTCATAAAATTTAATATTTTAAGAATTGATATATGATAATATTTAATATTTAAAACAGTATCAAAATCAATGAATTGAATTTTTTTTTCATCCACGAGAAAGTTACTATAAAATTATGAAGAATTCTTTCATGTTTATTCCAATAAAAATTCATAGTTTTCATTTGAAATTGAAGAAGAGTGTTCAATAAAAAAAAGAAATATATATATAAAAATATCTTAAAGCATTAAAAGTGGATCTATTAATTAAGTTCAGACAGAAAGTGGCAAATAGGGAAAAAATAGCGGATAATACCAAATCCAAATAACGATATCAAATTATCATATAAAACCGAGAAACCGAGATAATACGTACTAGGTAGTTGTCAAAAATGTACGCACCGATCAGAAAGGAAGGAAAAAAGCCACGTCGCCCCGTTGCAAGCCCGTAAATGGCTATACAGCTGCGAATACGCACTTGCTTGTCAAGTGCGGTATCGAAGAGAAAAGAAACGGAGCCCGCGAAAGAATCATCCGGATCGGATATTTCAGTTTCTCGATTGGGCGCTCGTTTTTGGGCTTACCCACGATGTCGGCTCGACCAAAACCGGAACCGCATCGGCGACGTGGCCGCGAGACCGCGCCTGATTCCTGGAAGCTTATGGTTCTTCATCGGCGCAGCAACCACCGCTCGTTCGCGCGTGTTAACGGCCAATAAGACGTATAAAAGAACAGATCACGTGCACGAAAGTGAGCTGTGTATTCTTAATAACGATTTCTTTTTCTTGTTATTCTTTCGATACGATGAAAGAAACATTTTGGGAACATTGTTTGGAAAGAAAGTGCTTGTACAATCTTATTTTCGAGAAGTTGTTGAGAGGTAAAAAAAAAATGAGACGGTACGGTGATCCAGTCCAGGAATTTTGGTTTATTTTGGACGGTGCGTATCCTTGCTCTGATAATCGAATAATTCTATTTTTACGTTTTATTTTGTAACTATTGTGTTCCTATTGTTTCATTGCTTTTTGTATCTTATATACGTAAATAGTGATTCAATTTATTTTTTCTTCTATCTACTTCTTCTTAGCTATCCAAATTTTTAAACGTAGAATTACCTTGCAAAAAATAAAATATATGTCTATTAATATGAAAAGTATTCCTTCGAATAATTCTATTTTTATTTTGTAACTATTGTGTTCCTATTGTTTCATTGCTTTTTGTATCTTATATACGTAAATAGTGATTCAATTTATTTTTTCTTCTATCTACTTCTTCTTAGCTATCCAAATTTTTAAACGTAGAATTACCTTGCAAAAAATTTCATAAAATATATATCTATTAATATGAAAAGTATTCCTTTTATTTGCGTAAGTAGAAAATATATCCCGAAAAAATTACGAGTTTACTTTAGTTTTAATATAATAATACTTGATTAAGCAAAAGTAGACAAGTAATGAAAAGTGTATCTGAATTAAATATACTATATCATTTTATAATAATCTAAATATATTTTTATAATACATCGAATATGCTTATATATAAGCACAAAGCTTGTCTTTTATAAAGAAAAAGATATAAAGTAAAAAAATTTTGAAACTTAATTTTTAAGAAAATCTAATCGAATATATCTAATTATATCACACAATAAAAATCATAACTTAGATTTTCAAACTCCAATTTTCTTTTTAAATTAAAGCTTATAAGCTCGAATCAATTTTCACACTCTCTCTCTCTTATTTATTTTATAAAAAATCATTTCCTGCCTTCTTTATACATTTCACTCGATCGCATCTTATACATATATAATTCTACACGATATTCCTTGTCCACGCGCAAATATAATTTCTTCTTACAGGAATATCGTTAAAAAAAAAAGGAAAATTGTTAAAATCTTGTTAAAAGTTACCAAAGGAAAGTTAGCTTCGAGGTGTGTAAAGTAACGATTATAAATTTTTCGAAAATGACTTTCGAATTCGCTTATACACATCAGTCGCGCGCGACTGGCTCGAATAAAAGGAAGCTTATCTGACCCGGAAGCGGAGTTTCGTAATCACGGGAGAAGCGTTTCTTTTGCGCACGCGCTCGCGTCGAAATGGAGCGAGAGAGTGAGTAATTGTGGCGAACACGATTATCCGGTGCGTGCGAGAGAGCGATCCTTGTGCACGGCACCTGTTGATATTTCCGAACTTTTCGCGAGCAGGGGACAGAGGGACCTGTTTCGCGTCACGCTCCAATAAACCTCGACGATGGCTGGTTACGGGACCATCGGTGAATTGGTCACGAGCATAAGAATATATGTATATTGCATAGATGGCGTTACAATATATATATATATACACCGAACATCTGCCATTTTTAAGAACTCGAGTACTTTGGTTAAGTTTTTTAATTAGATCATTTTGATCAGGGCAATAGAACCGTATGAATATTTAAAATTTATTATTATTATTTTTTTTTTTTTCGTCTTAAATATAGGGTGTTAGGGACGTAATTTCAATTTTTATTTGAATTAGATTGGTTTTGAAAAGCTTTTAATGAAAATTTCTA